AGCCAAGATGCTTAAGCCGCGTATGTCTCATTGCTTAAGTATTTGAGCTGTAAAAGTCTTATTCAGCTAGTCTGATTGAGCAAAAAGAAGTCATTGACATATGTTTCAAGAAAAGGTAAGTCTCAGCTAGAAGGCAAATGATCAGGCGGCTTAGCCTGAAGGTGTGAGCAACATAAGTCTTAGACATGAGCTCTAAGCAAAGGAAAGTCTCAGCCAGAAGACAGACGAGCATGAGGCTTAGTCTGATGGTGTGAGAAAGAAAAGTCTTAGACATGTGCTCTAAGTAAAAGGAAGTATCAACCAGAGGTCAGATGAGCAATTGGCTCACACTGATAGTGTGAGCAAAGGGTAAGTCTTATGCATGCGCTCTAAGCAAGGGAAGTCTCAGACAATTGGTCTGAGCAGTTGTAAAAGACTTATGTAGAAGCATAAGTGATTGTAATCATGAAATGGTTATAATGAAAAGCTCTTGTGATGCAAGGGGATTAGACTACTCTCAGTTAAGGGAGGAACCAGTATAAATCTTTTGTGTCTTCTGTTGTTATTTTATTTACTTCTGTTGTATCTTGCCAACTGAATTAACTCAGAATCTGAACATCAGTTCTGATTTTAAAACTCTGATTAGAAACTAAATAATAAGAAAACGTGAAACACAATTCAACCCCAAATCGGTCCTCACTACCTTGCACGTTTCCTTCTTAGGATTGTCTACGGTGTTACCCGAGAATCCTCCCCTCGAACTTGGGAAGTTCGCGAGTTGTTTTGACAAATGCCTAGTTTGTGTCTCTAAATTTTTTATGGATGCATCATGGTTTATACTCATGGTATCATGGTTCTTATTCACCGTTTCCAAGCTAAGTTGAGTTGCTTTCATGAAATTTTCTAAGGTATTTTCTAACTGTGAGGTTTTCCTTTAGAAATTGGGAGCTTGTTGATTTTGTTGCACAACTTAGCTACCACTTTGATTTTTGTAGTTGCTCTAACAGAAATTCGGATGATCTCTCCATCTCGAGTTGTAAGTGTTAGAATAAGGGTCGTTCTTTTGAAAATTAGCATATTGCACTTCTTCACCCGAACCTTCCGATGAGCACCTTTCGTTCTCATGTCCTCCGCCACAAAAATCACACCTAAATGCTTGTACCTGGATGAGGTTGATTTCACACCAAGCAATCTCTAACTAACTTAACTAACTCAGCTAAAACAAATAAAGCTAAGTCACAATTTTGTCGAGATACACTTTGATATTTTTCCATCTACACAATTTCAACACTAACAAGAATTTCGAAATCTCTTTGCTTTTGTCGAGTAACATGCTTCGACACAAGGAATTACATTCTCTACACACCACCTACTGTATTGTGTCTAAGTTATCCATACTCATTATAGACTATAATTTCTCTAACACTTCAACCTACATTTTTTTTGTCATGATGTCTGCAATCTAATTCTCATTTCTATAATGTTCCAAGTTCAGGTTCCCACTGTATACTTGCTCTTAAAGATAACAGAACCTCATTTTTATGTGTTGTCTTCTTCCATGTGCTATCGGATTCTTCGCCGGATGGATAGTAAACATATTGTTGATATTCATGATAATTGCTCCATGATTCTTTGTTGTAATTTCTTCGACCAAATTCACCATCCATGTTGCTTGAAATGTACAAATGGAAGCATCTATGTATTCTATTTCACATGAAGTAAATGCTACTACTGGTTTTTTTCTTGAGTTCCAAACAACTGGTGCACCACCTATAGGGCTGGAAATGAGTCGAGTCGAGTCGAACTCACCTCAGCTCGGCTCGACTCGTTAAGAATTGTTCGAATTCGAGTTCGAGTTCGAGTTCGACACGAACTTTTTTTTAAGCTCAAACTCGACTCGTTATAAGTTCACGAACAGTTCGATTCGACTCGTTAGGTTCATCTCATTAGGTTCAGCTCACATGGTTCACGAACTTAAAAACTATTTTTTAAAATATATATATTTTTTAGTATATTTGACATTTTAAATAAATATATATTTTTTAAATAAAATATTAAAATAAAATAAAAGTTATCATATTGATATTTAACTTTATCTTCGAAATCTACTAATTCAAAACCTACACAACTTTCAAGAGATACATTTGAGAGTCTAACTCAAAAACTACTAAATTGAAGATTAAATTTGTCTAAGATTTGAAGTAAATATTTAAACCTAATCTTAAAGACAGTATAATTCTTTTCATATGTAATCGAGTTGACTCATGAACCTAACGAGTCGAACTATGTATAGTTCAAGTTCAGCTCATTTAGTTAACGAACTTAATTTTTCGCTCATACTCAACTCATTTGGTTCATGAACCTAGTTCAACGATTTAATTGTCGAGTCGAATTCCGAACTATCTTCGAGTTGGTTTGGTTCATTGCCAGCCCTAACCACCTATCATAAACACATAACTAGTTGTGGATTTTCTATCCTCAGTATCACTGCACCAACTTGAGTCGGTGTAAGCCACTAGTTTTCATTATTTTCCTTCATCATTTGTAGGAAACAAAATGCCATAGTCAAGAGTTTGTTTCATATACCTTAGTATCCTCTTCACTGCCACTAGATCTGATACTTTTGGCTTCTACAAGAATCTAGTTACCATACTTATAATTTATGCTAGATCAGACCCTGTTTAATTATCATTAATTACCATACTTATACTTATCAAAAAGCCATTGAAAAGATTATGGAAATTTACATTAATGATGTGGTTGCAAGTCCAGAAACTTTTGTAGTCATTTAGTGGAATTATGATAGGCCCTAAAACATATGAAAATGCACAGTTTAAAAATAAATCTAACTAAATGCATGTTTAGTGTTTCTGTTGGTAACTTTCTATGCTTTTAGGTACACAATAAAGGGGTTGAGGTAGACAAGAATAAATATAAGACTACCTCAAAAGGTAAGCCCCACGTATATCCTAGCGCAATATCCTTGTGTTCAAGTCCAAGATCCAATAGTTATGCGAACCTTTTTCATCAATATTGAAGTCTGGGAGTTGATGTTTGATAGGTCTATAATTCAAAAGGAAATTAGAGCTAGGATAATTATCATTAGCACGAGGGGGATTTGGATATTTAAACTCCATCTAGATCTTAAATTCTTTAACAATCAAGTCAAATGTGAGTGGATCATTGTGGAACTTAAGATATTGTCAAGGGTATGACCATATCTATGTTATGGGTGATTCCAAGCTTGCGACCAACAAAATAATAAGAGAATACAGATGTCTAAATTTAAATATCAAAAAAAAAAAATCTGCAAAACAGCAATCAAATTGCTATAAATATTTGGTGATATTGGTTCCAATATGATAAAGGATGTGAAGCATGTCGGTTGCGCAGTCCAGTCCAATACAATGTCATTTGAACAATTGTATCTCTTAATCAAACCTTTGTCATACAAGGATAGACTATGGATTTGATTGGTAGAGTATACTCTCCTTCATCCAAAAGGCATATTTTTATCAGCATAGTGATTGTATACTTCAATAAATGGGTAAAGGCTTGACTGATGATAAATATAAGGCAGAATGAGATTATCAATTTCATACTACATCGAATTATATCATCAAAACAATTATGACTGATCAAGGAACGATACTGAATTTGGCATCCTCAAAACAATTGTGTGTGATCAAGGAACGATACTCACTAATGAGCAATAGATAGTTGTTAATGCAAAAATTTGGAATACATATCATATATTTCTCCTCTTAGAATGCTTTGTTGATAGGAAAATTGAGGCAACCAACAAGATCATCAATGATATAATATAAAAGAAAATTGAAGATAAACCAAGGAGATGGCATGAAATCATGTAGGAAGTCCTTTGGGCCATAAAAAACTTAACAATAATTGCAATTGGCTTTACTCTATATCGGGTCACTTATGATCACGATGCAGAAAATTTTACCTCATACCCCTACTTTTATCTCTATACCCTTACATTTTATATAAAATATCAATTAATTACTATCGAAACTCTTCTGTAAAGTCTTTCGGTACACAAAAATTGATTACCGGAATTTTTTTACAAAGTCTTCTGATATACAAAATAAAAGTTAAAAAATATTTTAAAAAATAACACTCAGAACTCTTTTGCAAAATTTTTCGGTACACAAAAATTGACTACCAAAACTCTTATGCAAAATCTTCCGGTACACAAAAAAAGTTTTAAAAATGACTACCTGAACTCTTTTGCAAAGTCTTTCGGTACACAAAAATTGACTACCGAAACTCTTTTGCAAAGTCTTTTGGTATACAAAAAAGTTATAAAAAATGACGGTTGAAACTCTTTTGCAAAGTTTTTTGGTACGCAAAATAAATTTTAAAAAATAAAATAATAAATCAGTTAAAATTATACATGGACAAAATTGATATTTTTTATAAAATGTGGGAGTATAAAGATAAAGGTAGGGGTATGAGCTAAAATTTTCTAAGATGAGTTTTACCTCTAGAAATTAGTTTCCAAACAAAACCAACTTAAGTATTGATGAATAGCAATAAGCTTTTGTAATGGAGTTTGACACTAGATGAATATCATTTGATGGCCTAACCTAGGATCAATAATTCAAAGCAAAAGATGGCAAGAGCTTACAACATGCAAGTGAAATTGCATGTACCAAAGTTTTCAGCTACTTGATTGCGAATGTTCATTGACTTGGATTATAAACCAAAAATACATAACTCAGACTAGCACAAAATTAAAAATTACAGTCTTTAGCGGAACTGCTTACATCAAATTTCGACACCTTACTGAAACCTTGATAATTCTAGGAAAAAAAAATACACAAAAAGGTTACTGAAAAACTAAAAGTTTTAATGTATCAAGTCAGAACTTTAACACAAGATTTTTTCGCATATCTACAGACACGTGACCTTCATATACCACCTACGGAGGGAGTATTATTTGAACATTTTTTTACAGACTGAAGCTACAAAATGAAACAACTTTGGCAATTGTCACATGTTTATCTCTTGAGAGGTTTGTAAAGGACAACTGTCACATATTTAGACTGGAACCTGTGAGTCAATCCCAGGGCAACAACGGACTTTGAGGCCATGTTTTTCTCTATGAAGACATGATTTAGCACAACATGTTGAGGCTTTGAAGAGGGCCCAGTATCAGCATTCTCCATACCTAGGACTGTAAGATGTAGCTGCGAGGGAACAGCCGATGGCTCTTTTGCAAAATCTTCCTCAGCTGGATATGCTTGACCGTAACTAGATTCTGGGGAAAGTGGCGCCTCAAACTCAGAGACACCTTCAGGATTTTCTGGCACATAATCCTGCAGAAAATAAGAACATTTGAATCATATCATACCTAAGACAAATTGTTTCCATTAAACCGGGATGATGCCTCTTCCCCGTAATTAAATAATCAAAAGTAATCATGGAAGACTAGTGCCTGGCAAAATGGAACGGGAAATATTAACAAACATTTATTACAATCACAAGGATTTTCTTCTCCTATTGGTTAACAACTTCAAACTCATGATAAGCAAAATAATAATCTCAAGTTTATTCACTGAAGTTTAATTTAACTAGTATTAGTTTATTTGATCACACTAATATTCTGACCCTAAAAGCACAAAATCTCATTAGAGTTGGCTTTCTAAATCATAAGTCAATAAACCAATAGTAGAGTGCAAAATCTAGTGTTTCCTCGGTTATATTCATCCTGACCTATAGATATGACATCAGTCAAAATGAAATAGAGCACGTTACTCTTTCCTAGCCCCACCCACTAACATAGTTACCCTCCCTCCCACTGCTTGCCACACATTACACAATCTTACACCGAAAGGAGAAGATCCTCTAGAAAAGTGCAAAAGCAGAATTAGGTATCTAGGAAGATGAATTTCATGATGAAAAAGATGCTCTTCACATAATAATACGATGTTCACAGAAAAAGAAAAAAAAAACAAAAAAGACACATACGTTAACATCAAGAAGATTGCAGACATTCCCCATCTCATCAGCTACATAAGGAAGATCTGGAATATATCTCTGTTCACCATCGACAATGAACCTGTAATGATATATACCTGATGGAAGGACTATAAGAATTGAGTGATCCTTGCCACCTCGCTGCATTGCCTTCCTGCAAGTAATTAAAATTTACTGGTACTAATACATAATAGAATAATTGCAATTGTGATAACTTTTCATGTCAAATACAATCAAGCCACCATTACTAACAAAAGAGCCATCGAGTCTGACCTGGATGTCCAGTTATCCCAAGATCCCTCCACAGCCACACTGTTACCTCCATAATTCCAAGTGATCATAACAGGGATTCCTTGCTCAGGAGGTTGATGAACAATACCATGAGGCTCATTCTGCCAGATTTGATTGAGAAAAGGAGGGCCGTTGCCTCTTTGTAATGGAGCCAGGGGAACCTGAAAAGTAAAAAAAAAATCCTATGTTATGTTTTTAGTAATTTCATGTTGCCATGGTTATCAAAAAAAATGTCATGTTGCCATGGTTATCCAAAAAAAAAATGTCATGTTGCCATGGTTATCAAAAAAAAATGTCATGTTGCCACTGATATGACCTGCATATTTATTTTCTAAGCAAAAAGGAAAGACCCTAACTAAAGAAATTTTAACTTCAGGGAATGAATTAAAACTAAATGTGAGCAAGTACAACAATACACACTTTGGCACTACTGCACCCCTTACAAACAAAAAGTTGAGTCTACAAATCTAAACTATATGTACACGGTGTTTTATCATCTAAGATCACAGAAGGCAACCAAAATTAACTTTAGTCTCAATTAATGTTATACTTATAGAACAACAACAACAACAACAAAATATTAAGGGGTCTAAGATAGCGAATCTATAACACTGGTTAAAACCAAGACAAGAGAAAAAGAGAATTCCCTTCCCAGGAAATCTATCAATTAAAAGCACCTATCGACAAGCATATCATAATTTTACACAGTGCATTATTAGAACAAATTCTAAACCAAATAAGTATTCTTAAATAAAAATGCATTCACGATCATGTAATTTAATAGCACATAGCAGATTCTCTCTTCCAAAATCTGCTAAAAAGAGAGGAAAGATTATAATTTCAAAACTTCTTACAGAAAGAAAGGAAAGAAAGAAAATGGGACTTGTTTTCATCTTTGACGCACGTGTATGTCTTGATATTATTCACGGTCTAGTGAATAGTTCTAAAATATATTTGGGTTACAACAAATATATTGTTCTACCATCTTTTCTAAAAAAACTCAAACACAAATTGTTTTGATGAAACCTTGGGAAAGAAAATACAAAATCATCTAAGCATCTAAAATTTACAGAAGACAGTAAAATAGTGAATGACATGGAAATCTATCAACTGTATAGGAAATCTATCAACTGTATAGGAGAGGTCCCAGAAGTGTGGGGGGAATAAAGATGAAAACGGGCAATTTCCAAATGAATGGGATCAATATACACGGTTCGGGAGAAAATAAAAGTATATGCAAGTATTGGTTTGTATGTCCTTAAATCTTGTGTAAAGCTTTTGATATTATATATTCTTAACAGCTTAAAATATGGTGAATGTTAACTTGTGCCCTTAGGGAACAAGTTAAGAGCCAAATGTAGAAACACTTGTTTTATAAGTTGTACATTTAACTTTTAAATGTCACAATATTATATTATTCAATGACAAATTCCCCTTCCTAGATTCGTCAAGACCCTAAATATATAGCCACATATAATATTGTGTGCACATCCTGAATCGTGATGCATTGGCAGAGAGTTTTGTATACCCGCGTTCCAATATTGCACATGCTGTTTCTCAATTCAGAAACTTTGAAGATACTAAGCATGTAGTCAAGGGAACGTATCACAAAAATCAATACAAAACAAAGTCCATGGCATTACACCTGCAAAATGGTTGCCTCAAAACATATATCTTGTTGACATTTTAAAGTCCAGACATCAAATCACAAACAGCACATTTCATACTCTTAATTGAGGATATTATTGGATGCAATTACTGATTTTCAAAATGGACAAAAGTAACTTATTGAGTCCGTTAGACTAGTACAATTAGTGTATCTCAAAATGATGTAACGCTGCATACAAAATCCTGTTACTAACAATCATGAAAAGCGTGGAGACATAGGTCCATGAGTTTTACGGGACAAAAATGATACGGTCCAACTCAAACTCAGATGGAGTCACGTGTTAATTTCTCGTCTCAACTGTGACGCTCTAACTAAGTACCCGTTTGTTTTCAAGTTCAATAGGCTCTCAATGGTCGACAGTTTCTTGTTTAAGATCAACTGTTTATTGCTTCTCAATAAACACTACTTTAAGACGTTTGCACGCTAAGCCCAATGTGTACACACCACCCTAAGTTTGGTAAATTGTTCAATTCTCACTGAACAAAAATGAAATTGCATTTGCAAGGAATCTACAAAATGGTAACTAAACTAACTACATAAACAATCAGAATATCAGGCACAACTGTTCTTAAAAACTTCAAAACACCTCATATCAACTAATTAACTCCATAAATTTGCATCATTTTGCTTCGTCAACTACACACGATCCCTATCTAATCAAGTTTTGGAAATACAAACCACATGGAAGTCGATGAATAAACATCCACATTAATTTCTTTTGAACACTCATCCTGTTAATTAATCCAAATCACATTCATCAACTAAACACGATCCATCCATGCAAGCGTCAGCGAATGGATTTTTAATAATAGAATTCGCAGATCTATTCAATTTAACACAGGAAATAATCCACGGCTTAAACTTGGTAATAATCATTATTTCAACAAAATTAACCTATAAGCATTTAATTTAATTCACAAATGATTGTTAGAATTAAATACACTAAACACAGAATGAATATCAACATCAACGAAGCACCTATTTAACCTAACGTAATCGAAATTCAACCCAAGCTAACCAAATTCAATTCAACAGTAACGAAAAAAACGTAATGACTAAGATTAGTGCATAACAAAGATGCAGAAAAGCAGAAAAGAATTGAATAAAAAAACGAAGAACGAAATAGATTGTTATTGTTATTGTTGAGAGAGAGAATTACAAAACCTGAGGACCGAAGAGGATCGGCGATCTGGAACGTCGAGGACTCTGAGGCGGACTATTAGCCATTGAATCGGAAGAAAAAGCACGAACGGGAGGACGAGAATCAGGCGCGTGAGGTTCACGGCCAGTAAGATCAACACCGTCGGAAATGGCTCCGTCTTCTCTGCCATTAGCGTTTCCCATGGAGAGATTGAAAAGTGAAAATACAAAACGCAGAAAATATATTATATATGTCTGTGAGGTTATTGTCGTTTACTGAAAAGGAGAGAAGAATCGCAATGCAGGCGAAGATGAAGTAAACGACAAATTGTGAGAGTATGAAGAAGTGAAAGTGCCGCGAAGAAGAAGAAGAAAACGGTTCCGTTATTCGTCGTTTTATTCTTATCAAGTTGTGTCTGACTCTGATCTGACGCTGTGATGTTTTGGACTTTGGAGCGAGAAATTTAGATTAGAATAAAAATTAAATCCAAAATAAAATAAAACGAGAGAGAAAAGAAGAAAAGTTTTTTTTTTTAAATAATTAAAAGAAAAAAAAAACTTTTCATTTGTTTAACTTTTCTGTAGTACACAGATGAGTGTTTTTTCTTCCACGCTCTTTTGTCTTTTAACGGAACTCGCGCTTATCGTCACACTCGCACCTAATTCCTACTATAATTTGATTTAATCTGTGATTAATTTTTTAATTAAATACATTATTATTTTATAGTATTCAAAATAAAAATAAAAATAAACAAAAACTATTCTACACGGACAATACCTTGAACACACAACAATATTATTTGAGAAGTTATCATCAAAAGTTTCATTAGTTGCAAATAATGTTCCACAAGGTTTGGTTTGGTTTGAATTTTATTAGTTGTAAATAATGTTTGTATTATGTCAATTCGTATAAAATTATATTTTATATATTTTTAAATATTTTATTTGTCTTTCATATTTTTTTAAATAAATTAATATGTATTGATATTAGGAATATGTAAATTAAATTTTTATATTTATTAAATTTCTTAATTTAAATATATATATATATATATATATATATATATATATATATATATATATATATATATATATATATATATGAAAAAAATTATGGATATTTATAATAAAATAGGGTTAGAGATCGTGAATATTTTCTATTTATTAATTATCCTAATTTAATCACCTTAATATAAAATTTAAGAGATTATTAACAATTTTGATCTCTATTAAATGAATTTTTGAATTTGTCCTCGTACCTATTCCATTTTTAGTTATATAAAGTCATATATTTATATTATTATTATCTCACTAATTTAATTTATGAATATAAAATAATAATATTCTCACAAACATATTTTTGAAAAGGAAATATAAATTATAATTATAAAAAATTGAAAATTTGAATATTATTTTATAAATTAATTATATGTAATGTTTATTTTCTTTAGTGTTTTGAAAATTTTATAAATTTTTATTTTATATATCACGTTCTTAATACATTTTTTTCTTCAAATGTAAAACTAAAATAAAAGTGAAAAAACACTAAGAATTCATATAAAGTGTTAACATAAACAATTGTAATGAATAAATTATTCTTAATCGTTTGTTAAAAATTCATAAAACCATATATGTAATGTATTTGGTATATATTGATTTTTTTTAATAAGAGAAAGCTAGAGATTACGGGTAGTATCTATTTATTAGTCACTCTAATTTATTTGCCTTAATTAAAAATTTAAAAGATAATAACTAATTTAGAATTCTAATTAATGGATATTTAGATATTTCCCATACATATTCTATTTTTAGTTATATAAATTAGTTGATCCAAAAGAAATATATTGTCCAGATAAATGAGGTGATTCAATAAATAGAATAGATATTGTTAAATTCTTAAATACAGGTAAAAGTAATATTTAAATTTCTTTTTAATATTTCATGTCATATTTTTATTTGGTCTTAAAAATATGAAAATCAAAGTTCTATTTATTAAAATATAAATAATATTTTTGAAAGATTAATAAACAAAATAAATCTATTAATTATTTTGTTTAAATATGTGGAAATATTATAGGTGATTATTATAAGAGAATAGTACATATTTTATCCTCTATTAAAATTAATTACCTTAATTGTAAAAACGTGAAATGAATTATTTAATATTTATGATATATTTTATTTTAATCTTAGAAATATGCAAATCAAACTTATAATAAATGATAATACATTTTTTTAAATTGTATAGTTTATTATAAAATAATAATTACATTATTTGTAAAAGATCTAAAAATACAAATGAGCTCATAAATTAAATAATTAAATTTTTAAATTGATTCAATTTTTTTAATACATTTTGGGAGCTTATTATAAAGAAAGTATATATTTTAAAAATCTATTCTCTATTATAAAATAATTGTCTTATGTAAAAAAATTAAATTGAATAATTTATTTAATACAAAATTAAATAATTTTTTTAATTTATATTATTTGTTTGTATTACATAAATTTCATTTAATATATTTTATTATAAATTAAATATTTATGCGAAAGGTGAATATTAATCAATTGACTCTATAAAATATGTAAATTATTCTCTCAAGTATTTTGGTTAAATTTTAAATAAAGTCACTCATCTAACATTATATATGTTTTTATTAAATAAAATATATTATTTCTATTTAATTTGATATATTGTTTTTGTATTATATAACCCTTGTAGATGCAGGGGTCTCTTACTAGTGTCTTTTTAATGGAACTCGTATTTTTTGTCACACTCGCATTTTAAATTCTATTGAAAAAGAGAACAACACGTGAGAATTTTAGGAATAAGGATTATTCGTGTTTTGGTTAGTCTTTAGGGTTTAGTGCATGTTAATTGTATGTCATTTATGTATCTTCTGATGTATTGAAGTTGACTGATTACAATGTTTTAAAAATTGGACCGGTGATCAAATCGGTGAAGGTACTGAGTCGCTGGTTCATTGGTCGAACCACTGAGTCACTGGTCGAACCGTATGATTAAACTGAATTAAACCGGATAACTCGACTGAATAAACCGGTCTCTATAAAAAAAACTATATATTTAATAAATCGGACGAACCGGATGACTCAGTCTTTAAAAAATATCATGGTACCTATAAAATTTTAAAATATCATAATTTCACAAGTTCATTCTTTAAATTCAAACTCTTGACATAGTCATCATGCACGACAAAATAGTACAAAATATAAATTCAAATAAATTTTGAACAATATCTGATTACAAACAAAGAAAAATTGTTCTAAATAAGTTTTGAATAAAGTCTACTTATATTTTAATTTTATTTAAAATAAATTAATTATCAAAATGTTATCGTTATTATGAAGAAAAAAAAGACATGCATTTAAACCGCCGGTTCACTGGTTTTTAGCGGTTCTGGCCAGTTCCCACTTGTAGACCAATGACCTCTTCGGTTCTCAATTTAACCGGTTCGGTCCAGTTTTTAAAACACTGAATGATTGGTCATTGTTCATTGTTCACTCTAAAGCTTTTAAGCAATAGTGTATTGTTCTTGATTGAAGCTTTTACGCAAAATCAAGTATTGTCTTGGAAGTATGCTACTTCTAGTTTTTGTTATTATTGAATTGTCACTAGGATTGTGAATAATTAGGAAGTGGGAGAGGGATCTCATATCTAGAGGTATCTAGGTAGAAGTTGCACAAGGTAGAGATTAGACGAGAAGTTGTAAACAGGCGAGTTTAGCTTTAAACTAATACTATCGTAGTAAATTTCCTTTATGGCTTGGTAGCCCCAGATGCAGGTGAATTGTACTGAACTGGGTTAACAATTCTGGTGTTATTTTTACGTTTCTCTCATTTATTTTTCTGCATCGTTACTTGTGTGACCAAGTTGTTGTTGATCCTGGTGTTATGACATTTGTCTCGACGTCTGATATTTGTGCGCCAAAATTTTAATTGGCATCAGAGCAACTCACCCTGTTCTATTTTTGGGTGAGCTCCAGGGAGTTTGTATTCTAGTACTATGGACAAGGAAGGAGGAGGAAATGTTAATAGGCCTCCAGTCTTGGATGGCACTAATTATGACTATTGGAAGGCACGGATGGTGGTTTTCTTAAAATCTATGGACAGCAAAACTTGGAAGGCTATAATCAAGGTTGGAAGCATCCTTTGGTCAAAGATGAAGATGGAAGGGAGACTTTGAAGCCAGAAGAGGATTGGACCAAGGATGAAGATGAAGCTGCTCTTAGAAACTCCAAATCCTTGAATGTTTTATTCAATGAAGTTGACAATATCATGTTTAGATTGATCAACACTTTTACTATGGCTAAGGATGCTTGGGAAATTCTCAAGACAAATCATGAAGGAACATCCAAGGTAAAGATGTATAGACTTCAGCTTCTCACTGCCAAATTTGAGAATCTAAAGATGAGAGTATTCATGACTTTCACATGAATATCCTTGAAATAGCTAATGCCTTTAGTGCCTTGGGATAGAAGATATCATAAGAGAAGTTTGTGAGGAAGATTTTTAGATATCTTCCTAAGAAATTTGACATGAAGGTTACAACCATTAAAGAAGCCCAAAACATCAGCAACACGAGAGTTTATGAGCTAGTGGGATCACTTCAAACATTTGAATTGGCCTTGAATGATAGAATTTAAAAGAAGAACAAAAGCATTGCTTTTGTATCCAATGCTAAAGATAAAGAGGGGCAAGCTAATTTGAATACTGGTGAGGGACTTTTAAATACAATTGCTTTACTTGGGAAGCAGTTCAATAGAATTTTAAAGAGAATGGATAGAAGAGGAAGACCAGGTGTCAAGAACATCACCTCTGACATCATAAATAACTATGATTCTAAAAAAAGACCAGAACTGAAGAAAAGACGTATCAAGTAAAAAGATTCAATGTTTTAAGTGAAGGGTTTTGGTCACATTAGGCTAGAATGTCCCAACTATCTCAGGAAGCAGAAAAAGGGTTTGACTGTTTCTTTGTCTGATGACGAGTTTGAAGATGAACCCAACAAAGAGACTACTGAATATGTTATTGCTCTCTCTCTGGAAGATGAGTTAATAAAGATAAGCTTTTGATGAAAACAATCTCTATGAATATTTGGATGTGGATTACAAGGAAACCTGCAACAAGTGTGAGGAATATCAGAAGACAAAGAAAAATCATAGAAATGCTATAGCTGAATTGGA